TGTTGTCTGTATAGTGGGTAGAGGGGTGTGTCTTAGGCCAATCTGTGCCTGACATTTCCAACTCAGAATCTCTTTCTTGAATCTCAGTCCAAGTGTTTGCTGCAAAATTACATCTGGAAGGCCCTTCAAATATCTCAGACTAATATAATCAATACAGAGTTTTTATCTTCCTCCCACTTAATCTGTATGCTTCTTGCTGTCCCTGTTCTGGTTAACAAACATTCATGTCTCACTAGAAAGCTAGGCATTATCTGTGGATGCTCTTCCTCATTCCCTACAGTCAGTCAGCCTTGCTACCTCCAGGACTTAGCACAGTGCTGGGCACACAGTAGGCCCCCTTGATACTGGGTTGAATGGTGAATGAATGAAGAGACCACAGGAGTCTGGTGCAGCTTCTGATCCTAAGCTTCATGCCTTCATCCTCTTGCATTTACCCTCCTCTGTTAGGTAAACTCATCCACCCCCTGCTCCCAGCTCCACTGGGATACCTCCTTGACTCACACTAGGAAGACATAAGAAGAACTCTGTGTGTCCCCAGTACACTTTGTGATGCATCATTTAAGCTCTAATCAGTGTTTTGTGGTTATTTATTTGTTTATAGTTATTAGTCTGTCTTAATGGGCTCTGAGCTCTTTGAAGGCTTGTTCATTCAGTATCCCCTGAGCCTAGCTCATTAGGAGTTTCTAGATGTCTGTGGAGCAAAGTGCTTTATCTGGGAGTCTCCCCCAGTAGCTGTGGTTGAAAGTGACACAAGAAGGCTGGCAGGCCTGGGACAGGATGAAAACCGTGCCAACTGCAGGACAAGTCAGAGGCTGAAGTTTCTGCTGGACCATCTTCAAGAAGTTGCTTTGCTCAGTCCATTCTCCTTGCAAGTTCTCTCCTCTGCCCCTGCTCATCCTCTTCCCTCCTTGGACCACTAGCTGCCATACAGCTATCCTTTCCTAATCCTGTCTTCTCTTCAAGGCCCAGCCCACCTCTACCACACCCAGAAGCCTTGAAGCCACTGGCTGCTCATCAGCCCACTCATGCATTCCTATGGCAGGAGACCCTTCTTTTCAGATATGTAAGGAGACTTGGGACCAGGGAGGATAGGGAAGGAGCATTCAATAGCCCATGTCCTTCAGGAGCTCATAATCAAGTGTAATACTTAAAATATCAGTTCATATTTTACTTTATTTATTTATTTTTCTTTTTTGAGACAGAGTCTCTGTTGCCCAGACTGGAGTGCAATGGCACGGTTTCAGATCACTGGAACCTCCGCCTCCTGGGTTCAAATAATTCTCCTGCCTCAGCCTCTTGAGTAGCTGGGACTACAGGTGCCCACCACCATGCCTGGCTAATTTTTGTGTTTTTCTTTTAGTAGAGACAGGGTTTTACCATATTGGTCAGGCCGGTCTCGAACTCCTGACCTCAAGTGATCCACCCATCTCAGCCTCCGAAAAGAGCCACCATGCCTGGCCTTTACTTTATTTTATAATATTTTTGGAGACAGGCACTTGCTTTGTCACCCAGGCTGGAAGGCAGTGGCATGATCCTGGCTCACTGCAGCCTCGAACTTCTGGGCTGAAGTGGTCCTCATACCTCCTAAGTAGCTGGGACTACTTACCACCATGCCTGGCTAATTTTTAAATTTTTTTTTAGATATGGGGTCTCACTGTGTTGCCCAGGCTGATCTCAAACTCCTGGGCTCAAGTGATCCTATCATTCAGCCTCCCAAGTAGCTGGGATTATAGGAGCAAGCCTCTGTGACCAGCTTGCATTTTGCTCTAAATATATATTTTAAAATATAGTATCATTTCTGTGTATTATGTATAATATTGATTTTTTTTTTTTTTTTTTTTTTTTTTTTTTTGAGACGGAGTTTTGCTCTTGTTACCCAGGCTGGAGTGCAATGGCGTGATCTTGGCTCACCGCAACCTCCGCCTCCTGGGTTCAGGCAATTCTCCTGCCTCAGCCTCCCGAGTAGCTGGAGTTACAGGCACGTGCCACCATGCCCAGCTAATTTTTTGCACTTTTATTAGAGATGGGCTTTCACCATGTTGACCCGGATGGTCTCGATCTCTTGACCTCGTGATCCACCCGCCTTGGCCTCCCAAAGTGCTGGGATTACAGGCGTGAGCCACCGCACCCGGCCGATTTTTTTATTTCAAAAGCAATTTACAGACTTGGAAATATAAATCGTATATAAGCCTATTACCCAGAGGCTATCTCTGTTAGTATTTTAGTGTATTTTCATTTAGGTTTTTTGAAAATATAATTTTTACCTTTTTATTTTGGAACACTTTCAGTCTTACATAAACATTGCAAGAAATAAAAGGAAAACTTCCCTATACCCTTTGCCTAGACAACCAGTTTTTAGCATCTTATCACATTTCCTTTATTATTCTGTTTGTCTACAGGTAATCATATAGTCTGGACACGTAGCAAATATACATGATATCATCAGGACATCTTTAGTCTGTAAATAAATGAAATTATAGTACCTACATGTCCAGATTTTATGGCTGCTCTGTATTTTTACATGTTATTTTTCTTCAACTATTTACGAATAGGCTGTATTCATTCATTTCCTAATATATCAGCTAGATCTCTTTTTTTTTTTTTTGAGACGGAGTCTTGCTTTGTTGCCCAGACTGGAGTGCAGTGGTGCGATCTTGGCTCACTGCAACCTCCACCTCCCAGGTTCAAGTGATTCTCTTGCCTCAGCCTCCCAAGTAGCTGGGATTACAGGCACACACCACTGTACCTGGCTAAATTTTGTATTTTTAGTGGAGAAGGGGTTTCACTCTGTTGGCAAGGCTGGTCTCGAACCCCTGACCTTAGGTGATCCGCCCGCCTTGGCCTCCTAAAGTGCTAGAATTACAGGCATGAGCCACCGTGCTTGGCCCAGCATGTATTTCTTAAGAATAAGGACATTCTCATATATAAACACAAAGTAGTAATTACATTCAGGAGATTTAACATGGATACAACACTTTTATTAACCTATGGCCCGTATTCCATTTTTGTCACTTGTCTCAGTAATGCTCTTGAGATCATTCCCCACTCTACTCCAGGACCCAATCCCAAGTCACACAATGCATCTAGTTCTCTCTTTAGTTTCTTTAATGTGGAGCTGTCTCATTCTCAGTCTTTCTTTGTTTTTATGACATTGATGTATTTGAAAAACAAAACCAATTAATTTATGGAATGTCCCTCAATTTGCGTTTGTTTTGTTTTCTCATTAGATTCAGTCCCTTTGGAATATTATGTGAATGATGCTGTGGACTTCTCAGATTATGACATTTGGAAGAACACACTGTGCCACCTGCCCTTCATTGATCCTTTTAACATGTCCCCATCATTTTTGGGGTGTAAGACTTCATTACTTTCTGGTGCAACAAAATGTACCAGTTTCATCTTGCACCCTCCCTTCTCCAGCCTTCAAATCAGCTCCTTTTGTAAAGAACCCTGGTCCCTGTTAGTGGACCAGGATCTGGATGTCATTTCGTCTTTTTGCTTTCACTTAGTATCTGTCTAGCTCTGTTTATCTGCTTGTTTATTGAGTTGGAATCACACTGCTTATATGCATTTCATAAAATTATAAGCATTATTCCATGTCATAAATGTTTGAAAACATAATTTTAAAGGCTGCATAGTATTCGGTCATATGAATGGGACATCATTTATTTAATCATCCACCTTTGTAAATAATACAGCAGTGAACATCTTGGTGTATCCACCTGACCACATCTTTGAACATTTTGGATTATTTCCTTAGACAACCTTCTTAGGGGTGAAATTTTGCCAGGACAGCATTGTGAGCCTCCCCTATGTATGTCTTAAATGGGGAAATGGTCCAGGTTGTCTGGATTATAAGAGGTTAGAGAGGCAGCTGTTCCTGTTAGGAATGGATTGAAGCTTGACCTGATTTGTGACAGACAGCACCTGGGAAGTGGTGGCATTAGGGGTTAGAGGTTGCTTCATGCAGGGGTGCCATGGTGGAAGAGAAATGGAGGTGGGATAAGAACTCTTGTGTTGGGGTACTTTGAGGTGACCTGGATCCTATTGCAGGGTCTTTATTGGGAAGGGAAAGGAACAGGAATTAACTGCAGAGTCTAGTGTCCTACTAAATAAGGGGAGAGAATGTGGAGGCTTCTGTTTTCTCCACCCTGAAAGGATGGTGCTTGGAGAGTTGTGGGGCTCCAGGGAGGAATTTGGGGCAGAGCCCAGAGTGTAGTGAGGCATGAACACCCAGCGATTGCAGCTTCCCCTTCATCCCTGAGCTTGGCACCCTCCATCTTCCCCTTGAGCTCAGCTTTGCCCAGCTGGCTTAGTCCCCAGGACAGAAGGCCCAGCAGCCCCGTTGCTTGATTTCCTTTCATTGTGCTCTAATGCCTGTGGCTGCACTTTGCACAAAGCCCTCCTTTTCCATGGCCCCTGCTCTGGGGCAAGGTTGAGGGAGCTGCTCCTTGTCTTGCACCTCAGCAGCTACAGGGCTATAGGTGAAGGATGACCTGAGGGTTGTGAGCTTGGTGCTTTCAGGCTTGAGCTGTGCTTGTGGACCTCTCCCTGGGGGCAGAGCTGGACCTTGGGGAGGAACCCTGTGTGGGGCAGGTAGGACACTGTATCACTTGAAGTCCTGAGCAAGGCAGGGGGTCTGGGGACCAGGCCTCACCTTCAGCCTGCATGTCCAGGGATGCTTGGGAGCTTCTAAAGGGCTCAGAATAGATCTCAGGGCATTGGGAGAAGGGGGAAAATGGGAGGCACCTGGAAGAGCAGATGGGCCTGTCCCTGAGTATCTCAGTGGTCTCTCTGAGTTGACTTTAGAAAACCGTCCACCGTAGGAAAGCTGTCTTCAGATTTTTGAGGCCTCATTGGCATTTATCACGCACATGGTGAGTTCTGGGGACTGGGGGACCCCAATCATAAAGGAGAGCTGTGGTTGGGGTTCCCCAGTGTCTGGAGTAGGGTGTACAGCAGCTGATCCTTTTACTCTTCTCTCTCATCCCCTTCTTCAGACATCCTTCTATGGCCGCTTCAGGCACTTCTTGGATATCATCGACCCTCGCACACTCTTTGTCACTGAGGTAAGTCATGGCTGTCACCCTCAGTGGCCCTTGGGCCTTTGTACCTTGTCATTTCAGAATATGTGGGCCATTAAGGGGCCAGGGAGGGTGAGGATGGGGGAGTGAAGAGAATAGGAGAGGTGGGAGGTGAGAGGAAGGTAACAAATTCTCTCTACCTGTAAGTATCTATGTATCTATGTGTCTGTCTGCCTCTGTCTGAGTTCATACATTGTGCTGTATGCTTTTCACATAATGTCATTTGGATCTCACAACACCCCTTCAAGATAGATATTATTGTTATTATTTAAAACTTTAATGAAATTGTCAAGTACCTAAATTATTTGCTTGTTAGAAAAGTTCCAGCAGTACAAATATGTTTAAGTAGAAAAAAAGTATCCTTTAATCATCCACCCTACTTAGTTCTGTTTTCTCATAGGTAACAACTGTTAATGGCTTTTTTTTTTTTTTTTTTTTTTTTTTGAGACGGAGTTTCGCTCTTGTTACCCAGGCTGGAGTGCAATGGCGCGATCTCGGCTCACCGCAACCTCCGCCTCCTGGGTTCAAGCAATTCTCCTGCCTCAGCCTCCTGAGTAGCTGGGATTATAGGCATGTGCCACCATGCCCAGCTCATTTTTTGTATTTTTAGTAGGGACGGGGTTTCACCATGTTGACCAGGATGGTCTCGATCTCTCGACCTCGTGATCCACCCGCCTCGGCCTCCCAAAGTGCTGGGATTACAGGCTTGAGCCACCGCGCCCGGCCTGTTAATGGCTTTTAACATCAAGTTGTTAAGATATAATTTACCTTTCTTAGGTGTGCAGTTCTTTGGGTTTTGAAAGTCATATTCAGTCATGTATCCACCATCACAGTTGAATTAGTCTGGTCTCAAACTGCTAGAAAGAAATACCTGAGACTGGTATTTAATTAATAAAGGAAAGTGGTTTAATTGTCTCACAGTTCCTCATGGCTGGGGAGGCCTCAGGAAATGATCATGGTGGAAGAGGAAGTAGGCACCTTCTTCACAAGGTGGCAGGAGAGAGAGGAATGGAGGAGGAACTTCCGAGCACTTATAAAACCATCAGATCTCATGAGAACTCACTATCACGAGAACAGCATGGAGGAAACCACTCCCATGATTCAGTCACCTCCCACTACGTCCCTCCCTCAACATGTGGGGATTATGGGGTTTACAGTTTGAGATGAGATTCGGGTGGGGACACAGAACCAAACCATATGGACAATCAAGATGTGAAGTATTTTCATCACTCTAATGTGTTCCCTCATACCGGCTTATAATCAATTCCTCCCTGTCTCCACCCCTTGTCAACCAATCATCTGCTTTCTGTTTCTATTGTTTTGCTGTTTCCAGAATGTGCTATAAATGGAATCCTACAGTATGCAGCCTTTTGTGTCTGGCTTCTTTCCCTTAACATAATGCTTTTGAGGCTGGGTGCAATGGCTCACACCTGTAATGGAGGATTGCTGGAGCTCAGTAGGGCTAGACCAGCCTGGGCAACATAGTGAGATCTGTCTCTACAAAAATTTAAAAAATTAGCCCAGTGTGGTGGTGCATGCTTGTAGTCCCAGCTACTTGGGAGGCTCAGGTGGGAGGATTCCTTGAGCTTGAGAGATTGAGGCTGCAGTAAACCATGATTGTGGCACTGCACTCCAGCCTGAGTAACAGAGCGAGACCCTGTCTTTTAAAAAAAAATGCTTTTGTGATTCATTTGTGTCATTGCATGTATTAGTAATCCTTCTTCTGCTGAGTAAAGTGTCCCATTGAAAGGATGTTCCAGAATTTGTTTATCCATTTGCTTATTGATAAACACCTGGGTTCTTTCCAGATTTTTGGCTATTGTGAATAAAACTACTATGAACATTCTTTGTGTGGATGTATGCTTTCATTTCTCTTGAAGGAATAAGAATGGGATTGCTGGGTCCTATGATAAATATGGTAAATATATGTTTAACTTTTTCAGAAACTGCCAAAATGTTGTTCAAAGGGCTGTACATTTTACATTTCCATGAGCAATGTATGGGAGTTTCAGTTGCTCCACTTCCTCACCAACACTTGCTATTGTCAAATTTAAAAATCTTTTTTTATTCAGCCATTCTAAGAAGTATGTCTTGACAGACTTTTTATATGTATTTACAAATGTGTGTAGGAATACATGTACATATAAAATACTGGGGTTTTTTTTTTTTTTTCAGACAGGGTCTTGTTTTGTCGTCCAGCTGGAGTGCAGTGGTGCATTCTCAGCTCACTGCAACCTCTACCTCCCAGATTCAAGGAATTCTCGTGTTTCAGCCTCCTGAGTAGCTGGGATTATAGGCGTGTACCACCATGCCTGGCTAATTTTTTGTATTTTCACTAGAGACTGGGTTTCGCCATGTTGGCCAGGCTTGTCTCAAACTCCTTGTCTCAAGAAATCCACCTCAGCCTCCCAAATTGCTGGGAAAATAGGTGTGAGCCACCGTGCCCAGCCTAAAATGTCAAATATTTATTAAGTGCTATAAACAAGGCAATTTGTAAGCATTTTACATGCATTAGCTTATCAGATTAACTCCAAGCAGCCCTAAGATGTCAATGCTATTATAAGTTCCATTTTACACATGAAGAAACAGACAGGCTAAAAGTTAAGCCTCATGCGTATGATGTTGGCAAGTAATGGAGCCAGGTTATGAACCCAGGTACACTGGTCTCCAGACCCTTATTCTCACCCCATTTGCATTCCTGTTCAAATAACTTGAGTTTAGGGAACTTGACCAAGATGACATGGCAGAAGGCCCGAGCATTGGTCCAGGCCCCCACGTGGGCAGCACTTCACTGCACATCTTCTCTGTACTGACATTGGCTTACTTGCTTTAAGCCCTGGAGTTGACCAGCTCTCGGAGAGAAAAGCCATGATAGAAGGGAGCACAAGGCTTGCTGGGCACCTGGGCCTAGAACCAGGCCCCGTCGTGTTTAGGGGAGCAGCTCAGTAACGTGAAATTTGGGAATTACCCTGGCATGTGGTTTCCTACTGCATCTCAGAAGGACAAAGGGCATAGGTATTTTAGTAGCTGACCTGGCCTCTGTCTGGATTCTCCTAAGAAGTAATCAAGGAATAATCAATGCAATTACATAAGTTGGAAGAGCACAGAACTAGAGAAACTACTTATCTGGCTCACCTAATGTGCTGGGAGGGAGCGCGGGATGGTTGCTGCTTAACTGGAGGAAATTTGCATGAGCCCCTTTGTCTGTGATGATGGGAGAACAGTAGAGGTCATGAGGACTTGAGGAGGTGGCTCTGGAAGCTGGGGAGTCCAGAAGTAGAAGGAGCCTAGGCAGCTTGAGCCATCTGGTGACCTGGTTCTCAGGGACATTAGCTGAACCAATGGAGAAACTCCTCTTCAGGGAATTTTGCAGCTACTACTTTGTAGTTTCTTCCAACTGACCAAGCTTTAAAAAGATCCCAACCCTTATATGTGTAATAAGGCAGAGGAAATTTTATTCACTGTAATTTCTCTTAGGAAGAAGGCTGTCTTTGTTCTAAGAATGCCTTGAACAAAGCTTCAGAGGAAAAGCTTGCTCTGCTTGACAGAAGAATGGTGCATTTTGATCCTAAATGGAGAAAGGAGAGGGAAGAAAGAGGAGAAAAAAACAGTAGGAAGAAGAGCATGATACTGGGATGGGCTGAAAGACCAATAAAGAAATGCCACAGTGAGGTGTGGCTGGGCTCTTTTGAGTTAGTGATGCTTACTGTATTTGTGAGAACTGTGAATTTGCACTGTTATTCCCTCTACCATAATTCCTGGGAAGTTGTCGGAAAATATGCCTGGTTTGTGAAATCTCTACAAGAGATTATTTAGGGGGATTTTTTTTTTTTGTTATTAAGGCAGAGTCTCACTTTGTTGCCCAGTTTGGAGTGCAGTGGCATGATCTCGGCTCACTGCAGCCTCTGCCTCCTGGGCTCAAGCGATTCTCATGCTTCAGCCTCCTGATTAGCTGGGACTACAAGTGCATGCTACCATGCTCAGATAATTTTTCTATTTTTCTAGAAACAGGGTTTCGCTATGTTGTTCAAGCTGGCGAAAGTGATCGGCCCACCTTGGCCTCCCAGAGTGCTGGGATTACAGGCATGAGCCACTGTGCCTGGCCATTTGGGGGAATCTTGAAAGGCTGTGAGTCTCCTTGCCAGGGTGCAGTGTGTGCAGAATTATTTCCAATGATATAAGTCACCAGGATCTTGCAGAAGCAAAAGGGAGAAATCTTTGGCCTTCCATGTAGGCCAGGGAATTAGATCTAGATCTCTAAGGGCAAGGCTGTATGACATCTGAATTACTCTTAATTATAGACCAAAGATGGAAGGCATTTGCTATTCTGAATTCAATAATTACTTAAGGCAGGCATCCCCAAACTACGGCCTGCGGACCACATGCGGCCCCCTGAGGCCATTTATCCGGACCCCGCCACGCTTCAGGAAGGGGCACCTCTTTCATTGGTGGTCAGTGAGAGGAGCACAGTTTGTGGCGGCCCTCCAGCGGTCTGAGGGACAGTGAACTGGCCCCCTACGTAAAAAATTTGGGGACGCCTGACTTAAGGAATTGAATGGCTGACACATCATCATCATGTAGGGCATGGAAAACTAACTGAAATTGTATTAATAACAATTCAATACTAGAACTGTTGTTATAATCTAAAACTATTTGAGGTGTATTATAGGATAGAATAAATAATTATACTGATGTGGAGAACCAGCGTTCTCACTGTGGGAGATGAGTGATACAGGTATAGAGTAGGGGAAAAGACAAAGGACTATGTGATGTTGTATTTGAATTAGAGGTACCAATATGCACTTATCTCTCTCTCTCTCTCTCACACACAGACACACACACACACACACACTGTCTCTCACTCACAAACACACTTTCCTAATTTCCTGGCTCTGTTTTCTGAAAGGGCGTAGAACTTAGGAACACCACAGTAACAATGAACACAGCACCCAGATCTTGGTTTCTAAATACCACTACCCACAAAA